TCAAAGATATTAGTTATATCTATCATTTAATTTGAAATAATTTTAATTGTATCTATTATATAAATTGAATTAATTTTCGCGTGTTGTTATTAATATATTGATATATCCAGTATTATTTAATATCTAAGATAAATGTGACTGAGAATAACATAGAAAATTGACAAATTTAAGATATATTTTTTTAGAATATTATATAATGTTTTAGATTATTTAAACATTTTATTGAGTTGTATTAATACATTTTAGGCGTATAAATTTTACTCTTTTACACAATTTAATTTTCATGCCATTTTAAACGCTTCAAGATGGTATACGCCGACCAAAGTTCTTTTGAATATTTATCACGAGTTTGGTTTTATTGAGACAAAATAAGAATATAATAATATTTATTGTAAATTATGTTCATATTGCATCCAATGACGGAGCTACAGGGGGCCAGGGGGCCCCTGGGCCCCCCTGATTTTTTTTTTTAAAAAATCAATATATATATATATATATAATGTTTATATATAAAGAAAATACAATAAAATATGTTTAAAAATGTAAAAAATATTTACAACATAGTAATTAGACCTTATTCATATGCTATTTTTATTTAAATTATTAATATTATTTAATTTATTGAAAAATGTATTGACAATCCTTATATATTAAATTTTTAGATAAGCTTTTAAAAATAGTTAAAATGATTTAATCTTTCAGTCTCTTAAGTGTAAGCCGATTTAGTGATTTTTAAAACCGAGTATTTAGTTGTATTGTTACATTTTTCAATGTTGATTTTTTTACTCCTTTATGTTGTAATCACATATTTTAACTTTATTTTTTTTCTTCAAAATGTTTATTCTATAAGCTCTCATAAAAAAAATTCTATGCAATGTGATGCAAAAGTTCATTTTAAATCAAATTATCAACCAAAAAAACTCATTTTTCCATAAATAAGATCAAATAATATATTATCAAATAATTACTTAAATAAATTTAATAATATCTCCAGTATTTTCATTGATATTTATTATAATAAATTACAAGATTGATTTCATGATTTATGTTGATAATATTCTGGTCAAGATAAATAATATTTTATTAATATTTGTAATACTTTCATTGATATTCATTATAATAGATTACTAAATTGATTTTTGTGATCCATGTTGATAATATTTTGATCAAGATAATATTACACCATATTTTAAGTTCTAACTATAATATTAGAATTTTCACAAATATTCACTTTTTATCCAAAAATATTTATAAAAAATCGTAACAGGTTAGGTAGATTTTTTTTTTCCAAGTAATCAGACAAAATCAAGTTGGTGAATTAATCTTGACCAATATATTTGGTTCTTAAGCTTTATTTTGTTAAATATAAAAAATAAATCGTTCTTCAAATTAATATAATTTACCATTTAAGAGATAATGACCATATATAATAAACAGTTTTACTAATGGAAATAAATTAAAATTGAAACATTTTAGGAGGTCTTCGACCAACCTGCCCACCCCAAGTGATGTTCTAAACAAGTGACCACCCAGCCCGAGGGCCTTAGTCATGGTGGGTTTTGGTCTTTACACTTGCCCACCCGCGAAGAATGTTCTAAACAGGAGGTCTTCGACCAACCTGCCCACCCCAAGTGATGTTCTAAACAAGTGACCACCCAGTCCGAGGGCCTTAGTCATAGTGGGTTTTGGTCTTCACACTTGCCCACCCGCGAGGAATGTTCTAAACAAGAGGTCTTCGACCAACCTACCCACCCCAAGTGATGTTCTAAGCAAGTGACCACCCAGCCCGAGGGCCTTAGTCATGGTAGGTTTTGGTCTTCACACTTGCCCACCCGCGAGGAATGTTCAAAACAGGAGGTTTTCGACCAACCTGCCCACCCCAAGTGATGTTCTAAACAAGTGATTTCCATGTCAGACCACACCACATACATCCTGTCATCCAAATTATACCAACATTTCAAGCATATGAAAATGTGCCATAAAGCGAGTAAAATCAGAAGGATAACTGAACTTCATTGATTTTTGAGCAAACTTTTGTGATTTACATCGTTGTTCGAATTATCTAGTTTTCTTTGAAAAAATAAAAAAATTTCACACATTATATTTTTTCAAATTAGCTATGTTCCATGACCTGGCAAGTGATCGGCCTTCGGCATCCTTTAGCGAGTACGCTCCTCCTGCGTGCACTCGCTCGACCAGGTATGGCCCTTCCCAGTTCGGCTCTAGCTTCCCCACATGTTTGAGTACATCGACACGTTTCCAAACCAAGTCGCCTCCTTGGAGTCTGCGAA